TACCCTATGCAATGTTATTTGTAATTGTAGAAAATATCACTTGCCATTTTTATCACACTCACGTAATGCTTAAAAATGGCAGTTAGCATCATCACTAGGTAGCTTTAGACATTTCAAGGTCAAGGATTTTATAGTTTGACCTTGAAACTCCCTTAAAACTCCACGGTGGCATATGGGCCCAATGTTCTGCCAATTTGTCGAGTTGACCGTCGCAGTTTGTTTGAGTAAGTTCGCGTGAGAAGCCCGCCGCGCTAGGCTATACAAACACACGCTTCCCCCACACCTACAGGCACGGGCCACGGGCACAGTAGGTATCAACAACGACAGACGGTCTAGGTGACTGGTTAGACACACAGCTACCGTTTCTTCTCTCTTCTCTCTCTCTCTCTCTCTGTCTCTCTCTCTGTCTCTCTCTCTCTCTGTATCTCTGTCTGTCTGTCTGTCTGTCTGTCTGTCTGTCTGTCTCTCTCTCTATCTGTCTCTCTCTTTCTCTCTCTCTCTGTCTGTCTCTCTCTTTCTCTCTCTCTCTGTCTGTCTCTCTCTGTCTCCGTCTCTCTCTTTCCCTCTCTCCCTTATTCCCAGAAAAGGTACACCATTGCTTACGCGGTACTGTGGAGTATCGGGTTACCAGCGAATTAGCCCCCTCAAACGACACATTAGATGGAGAAGTTTCAATATAAAACATCAGCGGGAGTTCCACCCAGGTCATGTGCGCCTAGCTGGGGTTCCTTCTCTGTGTCATTCTGTAGAGGATAAAACTGCTGTCTGACACTCGGAGCTAGACCTAGGCTCTGGAACTACAAACAATGTATTTTCATTGTATTAACATGGGCAACGACAAGTACTAGAAGTTCCCAAGATGGAGGTTGAAATCCTTCAATGTAAGATGTGATACTCGTACAGTATATACATGTATTGCCCTGCGTTGGAACTAAAGACAGGCAAGTTGAGAAAGGTGGGTGAAAGACAGACTGTTCCTTGCCTTGTAGCCCTAATGTCTTCTTATTTGTGCCTTAACTTTTCCCTCAGCAAGAACATCTTGTATTGAGTCTGTACGAATGCACAATTGTATATTGTGTAACATGCCAAACACAGTGGGACCGACTGCAGTCTTCCACAGAGTTTATGATAAAAAGATTCTTTCGATGGTTCAAGATATATAAAGTCTAAGCGGAAGTTTGGTTGAAATGTTAGCGTTGTCAAGTTCAAGACATTCAGATACTCTGAAAATATAGCTCTCTTTTCTTTTCTGCTTGTTTAATTCTGTAGAAACGTGATAAAGCTTTAAGGATCATCTGTAAGGTGATAAAAATATGACTGAAACCAACTAGAACAGGCGGGATCCTAAATTCCCTCTCCAGCCCAGGGAACGCGAAAAGTGATTGACACCTGTGACAGACGTTAGTACCGTTTCCTTGCCGCCATGCTGTTCTGCCATAGCATGACGACACGGTTCCTTAACCCTTATTTCCCGTGTGAGGGGGTTCAGAGTCGAGCTTAGCCTTAACTTTGGCCTTCTCGTGTAATTTTAATCCATTCTTTACGCAATCTTGGACAAAAATGCGGTTTGCTGCGCACAGCGGTCGTTGCTCTTACTTTGGGAAAGAGTTTCGGAGTCCCAGCTCCAAAACTACCTGAAACAAGATAGGTATCTAAGGAGACCAAGTTCTGGCGGGAAAACCTGCCCGCTGTGACAACATGCTATAGTCTGATATGCTTGTCAATCAAATGAACAGGTGGAAAATAATTCAAGGGTGCGGCAGGGGAAGCTTTTTAACGCCATCTGAGGTTGGTGACTGCAGGTTCTGGGTTCGAATCCCTGGGAGTATCAGTGTTGTGTCATTGGGAAATGCGCTTAACACCTATTTCCTCGGTTAACTCTAAAGCTTGGGTTAGGGACGTCCTCTTGGATAGGTCTTAAAATGTAGGTCCCTCGTTTAAAGAGAAGTAATTCAGGCATAGAACTACATATAAGCACATATAGGCACGTGTTCTCCCAACTGTTCTGAACATGCCACCCCCTCCTCTCCCTCGGCCACCGCACTAGGACACTTGCCAAGGCGCTGTATATTACATCGTTAACCGGCTTGACCTGCGTATTGTCGCGACAGGAAGCTAATATGTCACGCTTTTATTACTAATGCTCTCTTTTGGGGACCTTTTGGTCCCTATCTTTAATTGCCGGAACGGTATTTTGTGGACTAAGCTGCCAAGATCTAAGAGCCAAGAAGTTCTGCCCTAGATGTATAGGGGCAATGGAACATGTATTTCATAGGTATGGTGATAGATGTTGGAATTTAAGACGATGTCTCAAACTTTAAGAGGCACGTCTGAAGGACATCGTTTTGTATAACTATAAGTGATTTTATGTACTGATGTCATTTCGGATGGGGACGTAAACGCGTTTTTTTTGTGGAAGCGTCAGACAGCAAACCTCTGCATGTAAAATAACTCAAGAATAGGTAGGGGTGAGCTATGCTTGGCTAGAAAAAAGGGGGGCTGCTCTACCCTATTTTACTAATGGACCACTTCCTGCCCATAGTTGTATAAGCTATTAGATAAGTTGTGAACTTTAGAGACTTTTACGAAGTTCTCACACGGTTCAGTTTCTCTCACAACATGATGATAAACCCGGGCATGCTACCATCTACAAACTTGGCTCCAGCTCAATTTTTTACCGTTACAAGGTACCTAGAGAGTTTTCATATCTACAATACTTTCACCATGCCTTTGAATAAATACTTCACATTTATGGTATCCCCACACCTCCCGAAAATAGTTTCATCAGGTTGATAGAACATGGGATCTAGAATTTTTTTTTATTACACAACCATTAAATACTCAGCAAGATAAGAAAATTCCTAGATCCCCACACCTGTTCCGTGCTCCTCTAACCCAGAGCCCCCGTGTCCCTGTGTGTTTTGGATACTAAACTGTTGTCAGGCCGACACCCTTGTGTTGGCATCACAGGGGCAGACACCCCGGCCTGGCCTGGCAGTGTTCCCGTCCCCTAACTACTGTCTGCCGGTCCCACATGGCCCGCACAGTTAGGACAGGGCCGACAGGACAACTTTATACACTGGTTAACGCACTCACACCATTCAGAAATAGTCGATCAATGAAGCGGATTTTTTTCAACACAGGAGAAGAAAGAAATTTTCCAAATGGGAGTTTATGGTCAATGATTAAGTACGATTTAGTTGACATAGATTGTACAGCATGACTGTATATACCCCCTACTCCTAGCTAAAGAGATATTGGGAGAAAGACATAGTCGGTTAAAGTTGAGATTTTCACAAAAAGAATTACTATTATTACATTATTACAAAAGTACCTACGGGCGATTATGTCAGGTAAACATTACATATACAGCTTAACTTAGTAATTCTTGTTCAACGTCATCGTAGTTCTTATGGTACAACTGCAAAATCTTCTTCATCTTTGGGAGACAACTATATAATTTTGGACTGCCTCCCTACTCCAAGACGTGCTGGGAACGTCCAACTTCCCGATTTCGTCGGTTCCAGAAAAATCAATTCTTCACCCACATTCCTTAACAAGGTAACATGTAGATAAAACACCGAAATCACGCCCAGAAATGTGTACAGAGTTGGCTGAAGTTTGGTCCAGTTCTTGTGGTGTAAAGTCGTAATTAAAATAGGGCGAGGCACGTTGGCAGCCGTACAGGGCAGGAGGCTTACTTACTGTGCACAAATCAACTAACAAACTGCCAGACATCGTCTGAGGTGAGTTAGCAATGGCGTATAGGGAAAATCCCTTTAACTTTAATGTTGCCAGCAATCTGTCTCTTTTCAGGCGTTCCAAGTACAAGATGATAGTCTAATTTCTGAGACCATATTGACCATATTGAGTTCGTATTATGAAACCGATACTTAGTCATGGGTAGTCCAAAATGTAGACTAAAATATATTCACACACTGTGATTCGTATAATGATGATATTATACATAATACAAAAAAATCAATGGTCGCTGGAAGTACTATCAGCCCATGTCTCCATAATTCTTTGACTAGAGAGCACTTATTCGGATTGCTTTGTTTTTTGTTGATGGTGGTCTATGTTTTTCTTTGCGCCTTTGTCGGCTTAGCCTAGTAGGGACCTGTTAGCCTCTAACAGGCTTTGGAAGCGTCTGGAAAGAGTAGGCTTCGGGGGTGGCAAACTGTACTCCTTTAGCGGGTCAACAACCCTGGCATGTTATCTGTCTATTTGGATAATTTCTAGTCTTTCCAGACCTTGCAGCCTGGTAGGAACTTTCACCATGTGGTGTTGTTTCGCTTTGACAAGAACGCAACAGACAAGTGCCTCCAATCTCCAATTTGTGCGTCTAAGTCTTACTTTACCATAGCGTCTTGTACAATTATACTGTGGACACTACTAGACACAACAATGTCTTACTTGAACAAATGAGTTGATCTTTAGACTCTTACGACCCGGCGCGCAAGATGACAAATACAATAGCGTGTGGACACAAATATGAACTAATAGATAGCAACACTAGTTTAGATTACTCCTTATATTTTGCCAATTAGGGGGCAATCTGTTTGACTCCCAATATGTTCTCGGAGGATATCATTGAAGCCCTTACTTCTGCACAGTAACTGTCTGTATGAACTAATTGCACTTACTTCAAACAATAGACCGCGTCTTCGCCAATAATGAAAACATAAGTACGGATTTAGTGATTCCTTCACTTGGAATAAAACGTGATGCGAAAACATGACAAAGCAGATTGCTGGGACCATCTGTATATGCATACTACAACATCTGCTATAGGAGTACATAGCATGTATGATATAGCGTGTATTGGGTGCAATTTGATAGATGTATATTGTCGCGTAAGGGTGATGGTATTCTCTTGATAGGTCTGTACTCAGTTATCTCTAAAGTTTATCCCTTTCTTCAGATATAGTTGGCCAATTTGACTTTGTCAATGGGAGTACGTGGAACAAATTATACATTGTTTCTTTTTTAAATTTCAGGTCAAAATGAACTGGTCTTGGCGATTGCTTCGCCTCCTGGCGGCTATGACGGTACTGCAGTTCTCCCGTGCAAAGCCGAACAAGAAGGACGACTTCGTACTGCAGTGTGACGTCAAACCCAAGAACAAAACCGGTGAGCAGTACTTATATCAGTACATGGGGGGAAAACTGTGTGGATAGACTGAATGGGAGACAGTGTGTGAATGAATGAATGAATGAATGAATGAATGAGAGAGAGTGTGTGCGTCTGTGTACTCTTTGTATCAGAATAAAGTTTAACAGTCTACAGATGAACTTCCATGATCATAACCTTGATGAGAAAATGTTTTTATCCCCCAGGGATGGAGCGCGCCATGCGGGACATGCCAAAAGTGCAGCTTGAGCTTCCCCAGAGCGCGCAGGGAAACTATCAGCACATGCAGAAGATGATGGTCAAACATCAGGAAAAACTCATCGAGCAACAGAAGACCCTCAACTTACAGCAGGTGAGATGAGACTGAAAGAACATGAGGCTTAATCAACGCACAGAACCGGTGTGCCACGCCTTAACGCTTAACAGTTATGCTGTACAAACAAACAAACAAACAAACGAACAAACAAGCATCACCACCCCTGATTAATATTATTCATTTTTTTCTCATTCATAACAATTATAAACTCAAGGTCCGTTTACTTCTAACCCATTCCTAACGGTTAAACAAACTCCTGTCATTCCATCCAGGTCCGTCTGGAGGCGCGCCAGAAGAGCATTGACCGCAAACAGTCGGAGCTGGTGCACATGTTGGACCGTATGTACAGCCTGGACGTCTGCCAGACCTGCTTCCAGAACGAGTACTGCGCCACGGACGTGGAGCCGCCCATCTGCCTGCCGTGCACCATCTGTCCGCCAGGTGGGGCTTTTGTACGGTACTATCGTGGAGAGTGAAGGGGGATTCGTTCAAGGTCACTAAGATGGACTTTTGTGATTTAGAGGTTTCTGACTTTTTAAGAGAAAAAGTTTGTCATGTTTGTCATTCATTCATTCTATCCTATTTTAGATGACACCCTTCCATAAAGGTCCCTGAAAATAAGTTGAGGATGACAAAAGAAGAGGAGTATCTTCGTCTCTAGCTAGAGTATCTACAACTGCCCTAAGAAGCGAGAAGAAGTTGTGCTTTTAAATTGTAGTTCATTAATATGTATACTTTTATGACCTGTAAGCGCATAAACGTACAATAAAGGTCTTTCATTCATTCATTATGGCTGTACTGTACGCGGATATTAGTGGATCCAATGATAACTTTCTTCTTTGTTTTTGCCACAGGTTTCATGGCGACGTCGATGTGCTCTCGCACGAAAGACGTTCAGTGCATGGACGTGAACGAGTGCGAGATGAACAGCGCCCCCTGTAACGCTCCGGGGAACTGCATCAACACGGCTGGCGGATACTTCTGTATCAACGAGGTCGGTTCGTGCGGGTCCGGGTACTACCACAACGTGCTGAACATGCAGTGCGAGCCGTGCTCACGGTGCATGGAGGCCAGCCACGTCCTCAAGCCCTGCACGGCTTTTGAAGACGCGGTCTGCTCGCCCTCGCTGATCAAACACGCTACAGATTTTTGGAGGGGACATGTGAAGACGAACGTGGTAGAGGCACGCACCACACGGTCCCCCGTGACCATGGACCCCAGTCGCCTGCCTATTGACGAAATCACCATCCCCACAGACACGTTTTTCGCGGCGGGCGACGGGGATAGGATCATATTCAAGAGGGACGGAATGATCTGGGTGGACTACAACATAGCGATCAAACACACGTGTCCGACATACTTACAGATCAGCGCTAACGTACAGGACAAACTGGTGGGTTCTGCGCGGTTCGAAGCGACGAAGCGCGACCTCTACAGCTCCGCGAGTTTGAGCGGCGCCGCTCTGGTAGAGGCCGGGCAAGAGATGGTCCTCGCACTCAGCAGCCCGTATTGTCCGTCCAGCGTCTCTTATTTCGGGCGGCCGGACATTCCCGACGATCCCGCGCCAAAGCTGACCGAAATCGCGAATCTGGAACTCGCGGGGCCGCTGAGCATCTTGTACGCTTCGTACGACGCCGGCGCTGTCGTGTGGCGGGCCAGGACGCGGCAAAACACGAACGCGGGAAAATACCGAGTGGAGTACGAGCAACCCAGACTGTCGTCTGATGGTTACGTCATCTCGTTGCCAAGGCTGGACGAGGTCCTGTTTCAGGACGAAGGCATCGTGAAGTTCTCTCTGGCTCAGGCGACGTTTTCTGCGGGTGAACCCTGCCGCACGAAAGGGTACACCATCCACGTCAAGCTCATGAAAAACTCCGGCCTGCTTCGCACGATTTCGCGCCAGTTCAAGCGCGGGCAGCCGCACACCGACATCCTGCTTCGCGCGTCGGGCGCCCTGCTTGTCTCCCAGGGCGACAGCCTCATCTTTGACATCGAGACGGACCCGCAGTGCCAGACGAGATACGGGGACAACTCGCCCGTCAGCGCGCTCAACATCATGTGGCTGCCCACGGACTACGCCTGCCTCATGGTGGCCGAACTGCAGCGGGGCGTGCGCTGGTCGGGTGCGGGGACTCGCATCCTCCAGTTCGGGGAGGTCCTCAACACCGAGCCGGACTCCATCAAGGCTTTCAGCAGCGGGTTCCTCCTCTTCCAGAAGGAGGGGCGCGTGAGCCTGACGTACAGTCAGAAGATAGTACACTCCTGCAACTATCTCAAAGTCACGGTGTACTACATCGCCGGGATCCCTCAGAAACACACGCCGGTCATGCAGACCGTGATCGGGAACACGCAGGCCACCTATGAGGGGTTACAGCTCGTCGGGACCTTCAACGTGCAGAAAAACGCCAGGGTTTATCTGCAGCTCACCTGTAGAAAAGGCAGGCTGGACGACCTGGTTACCGGCAGCTTTGGCGCGCTCACTGTCGTCCTTTCTGACCCGTAAAAAAGTTATACTTTGGGAGGAAACTTTTGTAAAAATACTCGTGTCGCTCACACTCCACACAGCCTAGTGACATGATATGGTCTTTTAAGGATGATATAGGGTGGCGCAGTCGAACAGTAACCGACCTCGTCGAACACCAGCCATACTAAACGAGAAAACTTCTGCAAAAAACACTTAGTCCACACTCAACATAGTCTAGTGTTATAAAATGGTCATTTTAGGATGATGAACAATAAGTCCAGGTGAGCCACATCGTGGTTCTTTATACTACGTTATGCAAAGATGCCAGGAATAGGAATTGAGCAGCATTACTTTGGAGAACTATACACTGAGTAGTTAAAGCAGCGTAACTCGAATGGGCCAAGTTTCTCATTTTCTAGGCCTCTTCTTGCAATGGTCTCCTTGACTACCAACAACATACAACATATTTTTGGCTGGTGCAGCCGAACATGCATCAAATAACAAAATTTCTTACTCTAGAAAGGCCAAAGCAGGAATCCACCATATAACATAGATTTTGTTGTTCTAAAGATTACGTAACTTTAAGGTACTAGTTCGCTTGCATGTAAAATCTGCGATTCTTGCTATTTTTTTTCAAAAGACTGGTGCAACAAAGGACACCGTCTTCTTTATAAACAAGATACCTCATTTGTATAATATAAACTATTTTGTCTCCATACTGAAGATTAGTCCATTTTTGTCGTAAGGAGGTATTTCAGTGCCATGAGCTTAATTGGTAATGTACCAAAATCAAACGATATTTAATGAAAAACGCTATGAGATTCATACTATACTATCGCTGAAGAACCTTCTATGTATACTAGAGGGCGCTAGCTTAGTTACATGGCTGTTTGCTATACATGTAACGTAAGAAATAGATTTTATCATTAAAGTAATGGTTTTCGACTCCAACTTAATACCATCATGCCATATAGTAAATCCTGTGATATATCCGATATCATAAATCGTTTTTAAAAATGTGGTTTGAAACGTTTTACCTTTTGAGAAGCAAAACCTGTTTTGATAGCATGAAAACCTGCTTTGTTATGAATTTGGGTTTTGAGATTCTCAGTGTGAACAATTCAGCATGGTTCAAAACAATATTTTTCTGCCTTTGAACCCTGCTAGTTTGGGCATATATGAGAAAGCAGCCTGTTAAGTTGACTGTCCACCATGGTTTGGTCTGGGTGCACGTTGTCTTTTCCCGGCTGGCACACGCTCATGTCCCACGTGTCCAACACAACCACGTCTGGATCCGCCCGGAACATCTCTCGTATCACCTCCGTGATCTGGTAAGCCAGCCAGTCGCTTCCTAGCAGGTAGAACTCCAACTTTCCTCCCTTGTGCTCACGCGTTGTTCCAGTCCTCACGAAAACCCGCGTGCCGGGAGCCCTGCGCTTCAGACGGTGTATGGCGGCCCGTATGGCGTACAGTCTGGACCGGAGCAGTTCTAGCGGCTCTGCCGTAAAGTGGGCCCACAGACTCAGGATTATTACCGTGTTTGGGCCTCCTGGATTGGTGTCCAGCGTTTCAACAACGTAGCGGAAGTCATAGAAGACACACCAAACGCGTCCCTGTACGGGGAAGTGGTGAAACCGGTAGCGAACAGAGATGTTCCATTGGCTGTTGTCTCCTTCCAAACGAGCTGCAGAAACAAAAATGTACAACTCCTTGTGACTATCGGCATGACGACTTACATGCTTCACCCTTGACGATGTTTGGCAGGCGTTTCTTAGAACGAAATAGGCTCAAAAAAGCTATTTAGGAAACATTGACAAACCTATATTGGTCTTCTTGTGGTTCAACGGTACTACCGTCAGCAAACGCTGGCCCCATTGTCTGATGGTGGAGTCACCTAGAGGGAATAGAAATAATCAAATTTGACATCATACCCAATGGACTGTATCTAACATATCCAGAAGCGTAATCATTGGTACTTACGATACGTACCTTGCATGTACACGGTCTTGTTAGCCAGGCACCGCCTGATGTCATTCTGAGTGAACACTCGGACATTGCAGACGGATGACGTCCAGACCTTGCCTGACCAATGTCCCAAAGCTGCAGACTTGTCCCAGGTACACGCTGGAAGGTGTTGAGGTGTGGGAAGTTCTGCTTCAAGAACATGTATGGGTTCCTTGGGGTCTACTTCGAGTTCCTCTTCAAGATATGGCCTGTGTGGCGTGAAAATGAACATATATAGATGACATTTCGTATAGCCCATATTATATTGAGGGTGATACAACATTCTTTGCATATTAGCAAATATACATACACATGCACATTTAAAGTCATGCAAACATTTTAAGTCATGCAAGAAACATGTCCTGATACTTGCATATTCAGCGTTTTTCTTCTTTATCCGTTGCGAGCATCATGCCACGTATGATTAGTTAAGAGGACAAGAATGAAAACTGTCTGCAATAGAATAGACAGAATGCTGTGTT